TTTTTTCCTTTCCCCTACTTCTTCTCTCTTCTCTCTCTCTCTTCTCTCTCTCTCTCTCTCTCTCTCTGTTTCTCTCTTTTCCTCTCCCTTTCTTTTTGTTTTTGCTTAACATTTCCTATGTTTCGTTGTCTTATTCATTTATTTTAACGAATAATGAGAAAAAAAGGATAAAAAAGGAAGTAAGAAGGAAAAATTAAATAAAACCCTTAAATAATACGTTCTTGTAAAGCTAAATGACTTTATACTTTCCATTCAATCATCAAATCTAAAATATGAAAAAATTGTTTATAACAAAATGTTTGTTGTAAACAAATTCGAAATATGAATTATTTTAATTAATTAAAGAAAAATCATTTCAATCTATTAATAATTGATTAATATGAATTCTGAAAAAAGGCGAAAATTAATAATTATTTCTTGTTAAAAATTAATAAAAAGGAAAACTTACTTAAGGTAATAATTATTTCAATTCAGCTTTAAATGGATAGAAGGAAATTAAATGAAATTTCAGGATGGTAATGGGTCGATATCATCAAAAGAATTAGGTGTGGCAATGAGGACATTAGGCCAAAATCCAACCGAGCAAGAATTATTGGATATGATCAATGAGGTTGATTTTGATGGTAGTGGTAGCATTGAATTTCCCGAATTTTGTCAAATGATGAAACGTATGAATAAGGTATATTTTGTTTTTAGTTCAAAGAGAATTAAACATTTCGAAAAAAAGAAGAAAAAAAAAACTAATCTGAAATTGTAAAACTAAATGACTTACTTAATAGTTGAGATGATTATCAGTTTTAAGACAAAACATTCCTAATAAAGGGGTGTGAATGATAAGTATTCAAGATAGTAGAACATAGTTTAATTATACTGTGGAAAAAGCTATTATGGATTCATATACAAAACCAGATTGTCAACGTGAATAAACCATAATATCATAGTTACTGACTTGTATTCGTAAAATTTGATAAAATATTCATTTTTTTTTACAATGCTTGTTTTATTTAATTACTCGATTTATTTCTATTCTTCTTATGTATTGCATTATTCAATTTTTTTTTTGCGTCCATCAGCAAATGTAAAATCTTTTTTTTTGTTGTGATAGAATTAATTATGGAAAGTTTTGTCCCCTAATTTTACATTTTTCAATAATTGAAGTATTTCTTTTTAGGAATATTATCCAAATTGCTTCATCAGTTTATTAAAATAAATTCTTAAACATCATTTCCTCTTACTTTGAGTCTCATTCGTTTTTGATGATCCTTTCAAAATTGGTATTAAAATTTATTTTAAGAAAAAAAATCGTTCTTGGAGAATGAGTGCCTTCACTTTTTTTTCCTTTTTCATACAATAAATGGGTCATACATTTGTCAATTATCTCAGTTCTTCGAACAACATGAACTTAAATTTAATCATGTAGAAGCTTTGATGCTGAAAGTATGTCACCTATATGATTGAGTTATTATCATATCTGTTTCTGATCTTTCAACATTTTTGACAGGATAATGATAGTGAAATGATACGGGAAGCATTTCGGGTATTCGATCGTGACGGTAACGGATATATCACGGCGGAAGAATTTAGATATTTCATGACACATATGGGTGAACAATTTAGTGATGAGGAAGTAGACGAAATGATTGCGGAAGTTGATATCGATGGTGATGGACAGGTTATATTACCATTTATCATATTTTATGAAATTCAAAATGGAACGGATCTAGTAAATTTTAGGAAAAATTAAATTTCAAAACTTTCAAGATTGAAAAATTCCATTAGGAAGGAATTTGGAATTTGAAAAAAAGGTGTGCAAATAAGACAGTGATAATGATAAGGATAATAATAATGATGATGATGATATATAAAACAGGTAAATTGAGTATAATAAGGTGTGGCATCAAATATATTCGATATCATATTTCATATGCTATAAAATTATTGAATGGATTTAATTGGTCATACGAATACCTCAATGATAAGTCGTTTTCTTTTTTCTTTTCTCATTAATTAGGAATCGCATAATTTGCAGATTAACTATGAAGAATTTGTACGAATGATGACAAGTACATGATAACAAGAAATCTTATCAGTTTATTTTATCAATGGTTAGCATTTGATATTGGAAATTTTCATTTTAGAATTTTCATCTCATTAATTATTTCCATCTCATTCACTTCAATTATTTTCTAATCCATTTTCAATTCATTTATCCATTATTGTGTCTATTTATTCTTTCAACTTAGTCCATAGATCACCTTTTTAATTAATTCATTAAATTATTCCATCAATGCATTATTTATATTATCCGTTTTGTATTGCATTTTTAACTCTATGAAAAACCTTAGACTTCAAATATGCAGAGAATATCATAGTCGGGATTAGTATGGTAGGAAGAGAGAGGACCCTGGTTGATGCAGGGTAAGGAAAGGTCGGTTTCAATTCCCGCACTATCTCAATAGGTCTGTCCAGTCTAAATTCACTTTTAGCAAGCAATTTCCACCAGTAAATCTCAATAAAACAATTAATACTAGCAACAATCATTTGATGATATCTTAGCGTCATCTTTCTACGTTCAACCTTTTCGGTTTCCATTCCGTTATTCCTCAATCAGTCTCATTAAACATTAATTCATTAATTGTTGATTAATTACTTATTATAACTTTTAAAATTTTAATTCATATTTTAGATAAAATGCTTCGCAGTGTTTGGCAAATTGAATCACTGAAACAGGACAAAACAAAATCGATGTTGTAACTTCCTTAAAATAACATTTTTCAATTTCATGTTAAGAAGCAGCGAATATAGAAATTATTCATGCTAAAAATTAAATTCAAAAATCTTTACTTGAAACTTTACTTTTTCTAATCGAAAAAGAAACACTTACGCTATATGTTTTGAATTACTGTAATTATTGATAATCACTCCTTGAAATTTGATCCAATTTATTTTAATTTGATTTAATAAATTTGTTGTGGAATATTTTCAGATTTTTTCATCAAAATAAATTGCATTAAATTTTTTTTTTATAAAAAAAAAGAATTAAAAATGAAAGCGTTTTATTTCATTGCACCAAAATGTTATGCTATTTATGGCTCACCACTTTTTCTATTGATTAATTGATTTAATTGATATCGATGCTGATAATAAACGATATGATCTCCCTCGATGCTTATATCAGTATCGTTTCTTATTCTCTATCTAAATTCATATGCTTTTTACGTTTTTGCTCATTTACTAATTAATCATTTGTATTAATTAATTGCATTATATGTGCGTAAAATGTTTAGCATCAAAATAAATGTTTTAGCATTTTTTGATTTTTTTTTATAAAATATTTCAAAATGATGATTATCAAAACAATTTTGTAGCACTGTTATTCTAAAAAAAAGAAAATGGAAAAAATTTTTGTTTTTGAAAAGCTTAATTTCGAAATATTTTTTCTTAATTTCCTTCAACAAATATTAATTTGCATTATCCAATAAATATTATTTCATTTAAAAATTTTTTTTTAATGTAAAAAAGATTATTTGCGCAAATGAACATATTTTTACGAGAAATATTGAAAATTCCAAAAAGTGCTAATTTATTCTTAACAATTTATTATGATAAGACTATTTTTATATTTTAGATTTACAATGTTCAAATTTTACACCCTTAAGTTTAGACACTTAATTTTTTTTAATTCCTTCAACAATTAGTATTTTGCATCAGAAATGGCTAAAGTTACAAATTTTATGCGATCACATATTTATAATTAACATATTAATACTTAATTCAAAATTACATTTAGTTTTGGTTCGATAAAAAATCGTACTTGGAATAAAACTAGAAATCAAAAATCAAAGAATTGAAAAAATTTGGATAGTTTGACAATCATTTTGTACAATGGCATAGTGTTGAAAAAAGATTTAAGTATCTAATTGTGAGAATTTCAACATTCAAATTACCCAAATTATCGACAAATTCAATTAAAATCACTGTATTTGAATTCCACTGATTTCCACATCACCCTGTATTTGAACGCCAACTATATCATTTGATTGCGAGCGATGCGCAAATGTCGCAAATCGTTCACCATTTACAAATATCTGTGTTACTTTTAATATAAGTTAAATACGATCAAAAATTATGCAAAATAAGCTTTTCTAAAGTAAATATTCAAGAAGATTTTTTAGTAACTCATACATTTAAAACTATGATAAAGTATTGGCAATCGAAATTTTACGAAGTAACTTTAAAATAATCCGAAAGTAACCTGCTTGTCACATCATATATTGCTCATCCTTTCTTCCATCACTCCCTATGCTTGAATCTCTCAAAAAATTTCCCAGAAAATTCAACGCCTAAATTTTTCAAATCCCTCGGGATGCAAATCATCCTGATAAAAGTATACATTTCATATTTTTGTAATATAATCAAAATCAAAGATTACTTGCATTGCGTAGTCTTCGTTTTGGAATAACAAATCGAACATTTTATCCTTTTCAAATGGAATTTTACCTTCTCGTTCCTCTTTACCCCAAACACCGCCAATTAATGCATTACGTACAACTACCTGAATTTTCTTTTCTTTTCCATTCATTACTTTCATTAAATGATAAATTTCAAAGGATCAATGTGTACTAAAATGAAAAAAAAATTTTTGAAAGAATTAATTAGCAAAGATAATTGGGGATAAAAAAGATTATAAACAAATAATCGTACAAAATAAAGCTTTGCCTTCCAATCTGTTAAACTTTAATTTACCGTAATTAATTGATGGTTGTATTACTCACAGGTACTGAAATTTGAAATGATATACAAGTTACATTATTGCCTTATAGTACCTAAGTTTACTTGAGATAGCTAATAATATCGCTTAAAAAATCTCAAGTATTCCATGGTTGATTTTAAATTCTTCTCACATTCTTCACTCAATCTTTCAATATAAATAATCCGTTAATTATTATTAATCAATTTTTTAAAAAGAATTGAATATTTCAACATACTTAGAACATCTCATTTTCAAATACAAAATTACTTCTTCCATATAAATTATAATAATAATAATGCAAGATAATATGCAAATTTTGTTTGATAATATTCGTTTTTTTGCGGAATTTTTGCGAAAGTATATCGTTTTTTTGCGAAATTTAAAAGATATAGATTAATGATCTCTGACCGATGATCGGCAGATCACAGATGATCCGCGATGGAAGCAGAGCGGTGAATCGAAAACAGGCGGGAGCTGTTCTTATCAGTATTTGGTAAACTAATATGTTAAAATCTGTGGACAACATTTGTTTTCAATTTAATAGAATTAATTATTATTAAGGCTTATGATTCCTTCCACAAATGAAAAAGCCGAAGTGGTCACTGGTCACTGATCAAGAAAAAGTTGGGAACCATTAGAAAAAGTTAGCAATAAAAAATATTGAAAGTGAACGAGAAAAAAAGGAAAGTTTTCAAACTTTTTCATCAAATCGTGGATTGAAATGTAGAATAATATCACCGTTCTGTCTTAATAAATTGACATTGAATCGTTTGCTACGTTTATCCGGCATTCCGGTTATGAATAATGATTTACCGGGTAATAAACCACCATTTACTATACCAGATTCATAAGGAACTGGCTAAAACAATTGCGGATATTTTGTAATTTTGTAATTCGTAAATTTTGTTGATACGATTGAATGTTTTGAAGACTGAATTAATTAATTAATAAAAAAGAATTTCATTCCATGGTTAAAAAGAAAAAAAAACGTGTTATGTTCAATTTCTCGCATAGCTAATAACTTTTAAGCCATCAATAGATTTTAAGTAAGCAATTCATTAAGAAAATAAACCTTTGAGATTTGATCTAATTTTAAAAAAGCAAATGAAAACTAACGTAATATTTGCCACCCCATTGTACATGATCAATAAGGGTGTCACCATCGATTGATACATAAGTAACCCATTGTAATGGTACTCGATAATCAAACATTTTCACTTCTTTCTAAATAATTATTAAAATTAAATTCATAAATTATTATTAGATCAAAATTGCGTAGTAGTACTGCAGCAGTAATACAGTAGCGGGAGTATTAGCAGTAGTGATATGGTAGAATGAGGAACTGGGTACGATACGCCTAAAATCCATTGGTTATTAATGTCTTTTTTTTTTTTTTTTTTTTTTTTAAATTTTTGTTACAACCAAATAATTGTCTCGGCACAATCATTCAATATTGTAACACTTTTTTTCTATCCGGTTTTAAAGATATATATATATATATATACACTACATTTCTAATAGTAATAATTGTATGCAATAGGCTCATTTACTTCCATTAATGGCCTAGTTCTGTTTTTTTCTTTTAGTCTACAAGAAATAATAATCCCATATATATGTAGATATATATATATATATATATATATATGTCCAGTATCCTTTGATGTCAATCAATGGTTAACATTTTCCAAATGGTAAAGGTTCCTCCAGCTATTTTATTGTTTGAAAAAAAATCGTTTAAATAGTTTTTCATTAAAAAATGGAAAAGAAATAAGTGGCACAGATTTTATTTGGAGTTTTCTTTTTTTTTAGTAGGGAATTTTGATTGCAAACCTTTCCGTCATTCTCGGAAATATACTGTTGTTATCATTGTCAGCGTTGATTGCGGTTATTATTATTATTATTATTATTATTATTATTATTATTATTATTATTATTATTATTATTATTATTATTATTATTATTATTATTATTATTATTATTATTATTATTATT